GCATAGGGAAAGGAATAGATTCATTAGTGTGCAGTAGTGGGTTACCGGCTCCCGTTGCAACAGGTACGCTGCAACGGGAGCCAGGCATGCACCACGGGGACACGCACTGCGCACGCATGCACACCCACTGCTTGCGACACTCCAGCTGCTCGACGGAGCATTGCGCAGGTGCCGTATGCTGCACATGCACAGATGGCCTGTTTCCTTCAAATACAGGTAAGGAAAGAGGGCAGGCAGGCCCTCCAAAGCGGTTCCACCACAAAACCGCGCTCGACTAAACCGCGTCGCTGACATCAACGGGGCAACAACAGCGTGGAGACAGAAGCACGCTGTAAACGCTAAACCTAAAATTAACCCCTAAACCTAACCCCCCTAAACCTAATCCTAATCCTTAACCTAACCCTAACCTTAACTTGAATCGGCTTGTTTTTAAAGCACTATTTAAAGCGCCCTTCTTTCTCCGTGCTCGCTGTTGTCGCCCTGTTGATGATGTCAGCAACGCGGTTTAATCGAGCGCGCTTTAGTCGAGCACCGTTTTGTCGTGCCACGGATCACATAACCCTAGGACACTGCAACATCATGAGTCCGTTGCCAAATGTTCACATTTTGATTATGTGACGATGGAGAGGCAATAGTTTCAAGTGTGAAAAACACTTATAAGCCATTTTTTCAGTGCCATTGTCACTAAATGGACTGTTGTAAGTCGAGGACTACCTGTGCTCCTACTGGAGCAGAGACTGAAGGGAGAAAAGGAAATGTTCTCAGGAAACTGGTGCCTTAATGGATGTATGGGATACAGTGGAAAACTAATGAAAGGATAGAAGGACTGGCATACTTGCTCTTCTCGGCGCTTTTGAATGGGTTTCATCTGGAATATGGAACAATTGCACTTTGGGTTTTGATTCTGCTCAACCCTAACCAATCTATTACTATTTATCAGAAACTGATAGTTTCTGGAAACCAATGAGCTTTTCAGGATTCAAAATAAAATAATTTCCCCCATTTTATCCACATCTCCAGTGAGACTAAAAAGTGACAGTAAGGAAGTGCTAACAGTTTTTATAGTTTTGAGACTGAAAAGCAATGTCAATGCAATTTCCAAGCCTAAAGATAGATGGCATAGATTAGAAAATAGGCATTAAGGAATTGTTTCCTAGTACAGACAAAATTATTTTAAAAAGTGGACAATATTCTCCAGCCACAGCAAAAAATGTCATTCTAAGCCCAGCATTTTCTGGCTAGAGTGCTTTAAAAATATCATAAAATCAATCCAAATAATTGGGCATTTCTTTCTAAGCAGAGTTAGAAACAAGGCAGTATTTTTTACAAGCCTCTTGTATCAAATGAAGCATCTGATAATACCCCTGAATTAAGACTGAATTTTGTCACAAAAGTAAAGGCTTAGGAGCTTGTTGCTATTCTTCAAATATACTCAGCAAAGCATTGATGGAGAAGTTGGTTGAACTGCTCACCGGTATATGTAACACAGTGTTTCTCAACCTTGTCAACTTGAAGATGTCTGGACTTCAACTCCCAGAATTCCCCAGCCAGCATTCGCTGTTGAAGTCCAGACATCTTCAAGTTGACAAGGTTGAGAAACACTGATGTAACAGGTTTTGTATAACTTAACTGCAATCTTAAATACATCTATCAACACAGGAAGGTATCAAAAAAGAAGTTTCTACAAAGGAACATGAATAGGTGCATATAGATGAAGTCAATGCAAAGAGACCCATTTTAATGAGTGGATATCAAATCCTGATCCAATCTTATTTTATTAAAACAATTATATAGTCATCCATCTTATAACTCGAGACAACTCCCAGTCAAATATTTTGAGCCGTAGCAATGATATAGTTCTTTTATAAGTCTTTTGAAAGACTTGCTTACAAAAAGTCTAATTTCCAAAAAATAGTAAACCTTAATAAGCTGAATCTCTTCTCTCTTGCTTCAGTAGGAAAAAAAAAACTATTTTACATATCTAGATCACTGATGTTCTGAAAGATGTCAGGATAAAAATGGCGTAGAAGTGGGCTTGAAAGGCTTGGGATTCTACTTCCAGTCACCCATTTGTATCTAGGTATAGCTGGACTTCTTTGCTAAGGTCCAGATGGCCCACTAATTATATGAAAACAACCCAATGCATCTGGGAACTAGGAATTGGCAGCTGGGTATTAAGCTACTAGAAAACCTTTGACTATTCCTAGGTCCAAAAAAGGACTGGATGTTAATTGGAGTAAGAACCTTAAAGACCTGTTTGTTTAGAAAACTGAAACTGCTGTGTGAAAACAGTATCCAGAAATCTGTGGCAGTCAATTCCTAATTGCTATTTTATTTCAATTTCTTTTCTTTGTCTAACTGGCATAGGAAGCGAACAATCAACAACACCAGCAAACTCACCTCTCATGCTAAAGGAGTATTTTCTACAACTCATCAATTATCATTAGTGTAGAATGCTCCTTATTTTGGAAGACTCAATTAGATTTGGAGAAAAGAATAAAAATCAACTGAGGAGCAATTGCATTTTCATCTTTGGCATTGGTCAGGCTGAATGCCCTGCTGAAATGCTCTGCAAAACATCAGACACAATGATACTCTCTTCAGCTATGCTTCCCCCACAGGGAGAGGAAGTCACTTTTCAAACTCTCAAGAAAACAAAGTACTTGCATCAGCAGGACAACTTAGCAAGAAATGCTTCTCTCATCCAAAAGTACGAAACCACAAGTAAGGTGTTAACAGGAAAAAAAACAGATGCATTCTATTGTATTATGTTCTAACGTTCTAATGCTAGGAAAGAGAAGATCAGCTGCAAGACGGATGGATTTGATTGCAATGTTGATGAGTGCATTGTTGATAGATCAACTTGGGGAAAATCTATCTTGTTACTAGGAGTCAAAGATAACTTAGTGGCACATAATCAATATGCTATGTGCTGCTTCATATCTAGGTCCATGAGTCCCTTGACTCTCCAAAACAACTGACAACCTGATTGTCCCTAGCAATGAGGCATGGTAGGTTTCCCTAAACTGACTGCAGACAATAGGGAGGGAGGGTGTAAGAGCTACCTAGCTTAATGATCTCATTTCTGTTGAAACTGCTGTTGAAAGGAAAATGTCCAAAAAATGGTGAACCAGCCAATAGAAAATTCCCCAGTATATCCAAAGAAAGAGAGATTTCTGGGTCTCAGATCAAACTGCCCAAATGTAATAGACAGAAACACAATAAATTAAAAAAAGAGGAAGATGGCATTTCTCTCACAGCATGTGATTAGGGGAAGCAAAGCCACCGTTTCTATGTATATGCCCCATTAATGTCTAATATTTTACCTCCAATAATTCAATTGCTCCTCCCTAATAGCATGTTGGAAAGCAGTTCAAATGTAATTAAATGACTTTTAATTAAAATCTAATTGTGGAGGGAGGAGACAGTTTACATGAATGTTGGATTTAATAGGCCAGTTTTTATTTTTTTATGCTTTGTTTTAATTATATTAAATTTAAAATATAATTTTGCAAACCAACTAAACTATGTAGTGCAATAAAGACAGACTGGACATCAAAGAAAAACTATGTAAATCTCACACTGAAAATAATCCATTATTTAGTATGATGCACAAATGTTTTAGTTCAATATGGCAATTTCGAGTTCTGATTATAAAGGAAAGCTTGGCTTTTTGTATGGGTATCATTTTGAGTGTTTCTCTGATCTCAGCAATATTAATCAAGCTACTGTTCTACATGAGGCATTTAAACATATTTCTTCCTCAGATGTAGGAAACTAAGGCCTTGGTTTAGGATGGACAAGTGATGTGGGAGATAAATGTTGTTAGGAAACAAGGAGTTAAGCATACAACCCAACAAAAAGTTTGCTCAGTGCTGATCTTGATAATTATTTTTTTTAAAAAAGCAAAGGGAAAGTTTGCCATATAACTTGAGAGCACAAGTAGCTGGATGAATGGGTTCCATGTATGCTATATTGCCACTAAGTAATATAAAGATGAGTATGGATGTTTATTTTGCACCAGTTTAGATTATATAAGGACTTCTTATACAATTTTTCTGTTTTGAAATTTTGAAGCACAAGAACATCTGCAAATCTTTCTTCAGAAATCTTGATTCTTCCTCACAAAATGGGTCCAAATGTAGGCTGCTAAGGAACTGAGGGATTTAAGGCTAAGAGTAGTATTGCTTTCAATTCTAAATTTCTATAGTTTCCATTATTACTGTTAATACCGCAATATGCACCAAAGATCCACCATCAACATTGTTGTTGATCATGGCCCTTCTGCTGAGAATCTCTTATTACCAGATAGTTTCTTGTAATTCTTCAGAAAAAAATATAAAGACTGAGTTCAGGCTTATGATCATTTAAGCCTCGTTTCTAGAACTGGAAATAGTTACACAGTGGTCAATTATATCAGTAAGTATGCTATTATGCTACACTGTACTTTGCTAATGGATTACATTCTTACACAATTGTAGCACCATCTGTTGGCAAAGAAAGGAGTTGATATATTGGTACCCTTTAAGGAAAGCAATCTACTGCAAATTTAATTTCTCACACATCAATTTCTTAATCAATAAAATCAATCTTTATTTTATTTCCTCTCTGTAGATAAAACACACACATAATATTCTTTTTTTAAAAAAAAACTTAGCAATTGGTTATTTGCATGTGTAGATGCATCGCACCAATGGAATCTCTTTTGCTCGTGGAAGAATAATTTCCAACTTAACATTAAAGAGTTCTGCAGAAAAATCCCAAATTTACAGCCTGAGACATTTTTCTAGAGATAAGTACTCCTCTTGGCGAGTCTGGTATTTTTTTTTTATAGATTTGAATGCAATGTTTTAAATGCTTGTTACATTCTTTTATTAACCTTATTTCATTATTATAATTCAGATCATTTATCTATATTTTATTAAATATCCTTTCATTGGTCACTATCCCTTTATTGATATTTGGCAGATTTTTCTAAACAATCATCTCTTTGCCAGTTTTCTATATGCTCTTTTTGTTCTCTGCAGACTGTTCAAATGCAACCATATTATTTTAGTTTACAAAGGATGCCTGCTCACCACAGAAAAAGGAGCTAATACGTCTGAATTTCTTCTGAGCATTAAGATGACAAAATGTAAGAGCATAGGCACTAGTATTTAAAAAAACACTGCAATGTGGTATTTCCATCTATATTATCTCAACAGACTTAGGAGCATCTTCATAAAGCAAACTTATGCTTTTCTATAACTCTTTAAAACATCTGCATCATATGGCAGATCAGAAAAGGAACCGCACATCCCCAGGGAAATATACAGCTGCTTTGAAGTGTTGGATACGCAATTATTTTTTTTCTGTCTGTTCTAAGGCACTTTTTCTAAATTAGCAACAAAGCAATTCATATCAGTACTATATCCATCTATCATCAATTGCTGGGATCAAAAGCAAGGAGATATTGCTGACGTCCTTTGTAAATGAGGATAATGGATTATCAGCATGAAGTTTATGAAACAGTATCTGTACATGTTATCTTTCACACATAATTTAATACAAAAAAAAAACAAACCTACCCCACTCTGCTTTTTATCTAAGTTATATAATTATCAACCTCTAACTTAGAAGGGGATGGGACATCTCTCTTATTGTTTCTGGCTATTTGGCAGATATTATAGGTGCCATCAATCAAGGAACAGACATCACCGTGTGGGACCCAAGAAATGAACCTCTCCTGTCATGATGCCATTCCTTTAGAACACCATTCCTTCAGAAATTAGATTGGACCTGAACCTCCTAGTTATGTATTTTATTTTGCTGTTGTGTTTTAACTGCTATAAGCTATCCAGAACCACTATCTTAGATAATGGAAACATACAATAAACTGCAATAAATAAATGACATGCTAGGGCCATGAGGGCAAACCTATGACATGTGTGCCCGAAGTGACACATGGAGCCATGTCACCTGGCAAGCATGGCATTGCCCGTTCCTCTTCCGGGTTTCTGGTGCGCATGTGCACATGATGATCAGCTGGTCTTTGTGCGTGCGACAGTACCAGAAACTGAAAGAGCTGGTCTTCTGTTTCCCGGCATGCACATGCGTGCCAGAAAGTGGATCACTAGCTTGCCAATGCGTGTGCACGCACTGGAATCTGGAAGTTCATTTTTTGGTGTGAGCATCCCCCCCTGGGCAGCTCCTCTTTTGTGTTCTGGCCCAGACAAGCGTGTGCGCGCTCCTTTTTCAGCACTCAGTGCTGAAAAAGTTTGCCATCACTGTGCTAGGGTGTAGGAGAACAGTTTTTTGAATCCTTAAAAAGCAATTGCTATTATCATCTGGTTAAATATTATATAATGCTGATTGTCTCTATATAGTGCCAGAGTTATACAAAGTAGTTTATCATATAACATACAAGTTTTTTTTTATCTATAACATATTTAATTTTTAAACAGGAAACATGAACTCATGTCATTTGGCACATATATTAAATGAAGTCCAAAAATATACCTGTAAAACTTTCATTGAGGTCACAATGCTTTTTCAAAGAATAATTGTTCATCACCGTAGGAACCTGTGCAGTTACGTTCAAAATTCTAGTATGAGCTTTTCCAACCACAATTGGAGCAGGAGAATTTGCATGTCCTGTTGAGAAGTGACCACTAATTTTTCTTTTTGGTGTTTTTAAAGAATTGTTATTCTAAAAAGAAATATATTAAAAATCAATTTAATGAAACATGTCACTATAGGTACAAATATAAATTTAAACGTCTAGTGATAATAGTAGTTTTATTTCAGTTCTGAGGAATATGTTATATCTTAAGAGAAAAGTCTTAATTGGCCAATTTGTATAGGCTAAAACTCCACCAGGTTTTCCAGTTTGCTTCAAACAATTCTGGGACAATATATCCTTTCAATAGGAAAGAATTCAATAATGTACAAATAACATTCTGGAGGCAGAACCATCCAGAAAACATTGGAAACTTCTTTTTCTCCTTTCCATGTGACACTAATCCATTTTTTATCCAATTCAATCCAGTTTTTTAAAAAAATAAAAATTGCCAGAAAGCAAGCTGTTTTTTTTAATTCACTACATCACTTATTAGAGTTTGAACAGGGGTGTCAAACTCGATTTTATGGAGGCCACATCAGATTGTGTTTGACCTAGGGAGAGCCGGGGGTCATGGCCAAGGTGGGTGTGGCCAGCCTAACATCAGTTGTGCTGGGGACGCGTGAGCGCTCTTGCCAGTGAAAATGGGCTCCTGCGAGAACTTCCGACAACTCTCTGCCAGTGAAAATGAAGCCGGGGGGAAGGGGGGGGATTGGCCGCCCTCCCAAGCTCCATTTTTTGCTGGCAGAGGCACCGCAGGCCAGTTCTTTGCTGTTTCAAGAGCGGCCCTGTGGGCCAGATCTAAGCACCCCTTGGGCTGGATCTGGTCCCCAGTCCTTGAGTTTGAAAGATTCACTTTCTGAAAATTACTAGATCATTTGTCTGAAATGGTAGAGGGTCTCCTGCCGGAGCAGGGGGTTTAGACTAGAAGACCTCCAAGATCCCTTCCAACTCTGTGATTTTATTCTGTTCTGTTCCATCCTGTCCTATCCTATCTCAGGAACAGCCAAGTCAGTGCAGTACAATGCACTGCAATACATAAGAAAAAAGAGAATTTTTCAAGAGAAGTTAAATAACTGAAAGATGAATCTGGCCCTACTACAAGGACAGAAAGAGAGATGGGAATGGGTGTGGTATCAACAGAATAAGAGTTATGGCTATTTTAATTTGAGCTTCCAACCTTAACCAAAGCCCCTGAAGGTAAAAAACAAAGAATACAAATTTTCAAGGAAAAGGTGGGAGGGGGTATTCAGAGAGACAAAAATATAAAAACTAAAGTTAAAAATAGAAGAATCAATAAAGAGTTCACCAACAAAGGAATTAAGTTAAAATAAGATAAAGTGCAAACCTTTAGAAATGTAAAGGATAAAGTTTACATTGCGTACAAATAGGAAACCAGTGTTTTTGGTATGGGAAAGGACTCCATATATTTGAACAACAAAGAAGTCTTGGAATATAAAGTTAATCTGTCTGGTTGCCATTAACTTTTATTAAATTATTTTATAATTTTCTTCCAAGACTCAAATCAACTATAAATATTATTGACAAAATTTACTAGATATAAACTTTAAAAATGCTGTCCCAAAGGTGACTAATAGAAAATACTGCCTTCAATTAAAAGTAAAAGATCTTAAAACTGTTTTAAAATAGGTTGAAACTACCCCATACTAAAACTTTTTTTCCATTAATAAAAGACAATTGTACCTAGAAATACTAGAGACAGAATTTAGGATTAACAAAGAATCCAAACGATCTCCCCAGTACTTAGAATCCAGATTCTTGAAGCTAAGCACTTGGAAAAAAGTTATTAATTATACGATTATCTGTTTTGCCTCTACCTTTGATGATTTTGATGCCACTTTCTTCGTCTTTCTTGTTTTAAGCACCTGTTTTGAAGCAGACTTCAGTTGCACTTTTGGAACACCTTGTTTCACGACTTCTGCCCAAGACTTCACAACTAAAACAACAATTGTTGAAGATTATTCACCTTAAACATTTTTAATAAAATATTTGATATATAATCAAGTTATAACTGTGCTTGAAACATAAAAGGTTTAATTCTGTTTTTACAAATTATCTAGCAATATATACAATTGTAACCCACCCATCAAGTTGGCTTCAGAAGCACCACTTCGTCTTTTGGAACGAATAGTACCCACAGTTCCACTTTTTCTCCTTATAGAACTTCTCCTCGTACAGGTTTTGCTCCTTAATGATGAAGTGGCATTAGATGCTGCTTTTTTAAATTCACTGACTAAGCTCTCCGTATGCCCCTCTTGTGTAGAAGTTGCTTCACCCTCTGAAGATAGACTTCTTGCAACATGAGGATCAGAGATATATTGTTGCCTTTGGGGCACACTATCTAAGTCAGCTTGCCTTGACACAATATTTTCATATTGCTTCCTCTCAAAGGAACCCTGCGGGGAAACAAATAGGCAACACACACAAAAATCAAACTTGAGATTTTGAACAAACAGCAATCATATCTATTTCCTTCAGAACTTCTCAGAAAAATGAATGGAACAATTAGACATTCACAAAAAAACCCACAATATTTTGTAAAGGGTTGCCTTTGAAGACTATAAGGGTATTACAATTAGTCCAGAGTGGGGTAGCATGTCTTAGGTTCCAATGAGAGCAGATCACACATACATTGAAGAGCCTTCAGTGGTTACCATTTCAGCTCCAACCACAATTTAAAGTGCTGGTGTCAATATTCTTCATAACTTGGCGCTTGGGTATCTATGGAAGAGTCTCCTCTAACCAGATTTTACACAACCTTATTACATCATTTAGGGAGGGGCTGTATTTTTGCAGCCGCACCAAATTATGGGAAAGTGCATCCTTTCAATAGATTTTAGGAAATTACTGAAAGTGGAGAATTATTTTAACAGCATTTCAGTAATATCATTGGTACCTCTTGTCATTCGTCTTTCCCATTTCAATTTTGGTTTTCCAATTTGAATTGTATTTTGTTTTCATTCTGTTGGTTTTCTTAACTGTAACATTCTAACCAATAATAAGTCCAAAAGACTGTGATAGTATAAAAAACAAATAAAATCACACAACACTTAGCTCTAAACCTTTCTCATTTGCCAATTGTTTAATATAAACTAAAATTAACTTCTTTTCAAATCTATTACCTAGCAACTTTATGAAACTATGAAAAGATGCAAAGCAGTAGATAAAAAAAAGGAGAAGTCAGCTATTTTTAGGCATTGTCCCATCTTGCTCAGAACACAGATCTGGCCATTCTGGAGATATTCTAGCATATTTTTGGATGTAAATAATCCAGAGTAAGGAGTGATTCATAGTCTAGCTCTAGAATGGACTTTCTTGGAACATTATCCCCCGAGACAGAACTTTCTGTATTACTTCCCAGGTATCTACAAAGATTTCCAAGCTCTCCACTATTCTGTGAAATAACTATTTCAGAAATTTGCTTTCTCAAGTAAATATTTGGTAAGCTTTAAAGATGAATGTTATTATTTTGAAAAATGTTCTAATTTAAAAATAAAAGTCAATAGTATCCACAATAACCAAAGATGGCTATATTTCTGCTGGATGGTTTTTCATTTTTTTTGACAGAATGTGAAATATTTACCCAATTTTGTTTTGGGAGTTTCTAACAATAAAATAGGGATAAATATTTTACCAAAAGATTTATCAATTTTATTTATTACATTTATTTGCTACCCATCTCGCTATTACACTACTCTGAAATAAAATCGGCAATTTTTTTAAATAGAAAAGAAGCATTCAAATGCAATATATCACCAACTCCTCACAGAAAGAATTCTAAGGAAATATTTAGGTATACTAAGAAGTACATAGCTTATATTCCTCCCCCCAAAAAAATCTTTGTAAATTCCATGATTTAAAATTTCTGATCAATTGTTTTAACATCTTTGTACAGATACATTATTTAAAATACAAAGTTTTCAGTATGAAGAATAGTGAAGTACAGACAACCATGTATATATATTGTTGTGGGAACAAGACCAATTATTTGGTTAAAATGTAAATATTCCTAGCAATCAATTGTTCTGTCAATCACATACCTGTGTTACAGACTGCCTTACTTCTGCAGCTTTTTTCAGAACTGCTCTTGGTGAGTTTCCAAATGGCATGCTTAATCTTGCTGGAATGGCCCCCTTTTTAAGTGGCGAGTTTGGAGGTAAGCGCTTATCAAAGAGTTCAGGACTCAGATGGCCACCAAAAGACACTCTCCTCCTCTTTCCAAGTGATTGGACTAGAAGATCTAGTTCTGTACCTCTACGCTTTTGAGGTGATTTCCTAGCCTCTATAAATGAAGAATAAATTATAGCAAAATGAACACAATGCCTTTCAACATTAATACAATTAAAAAGTTTAGGCTCAGAATACAATTGCTTAATTTTAAAAAGATTAAACTTAGACTTACTTTTTACACTTTTGGTAATATTTTCAATCATAACTAAGGCACTAAACATTTCAAACAATTTAACCTCTTATTTCTAGTAACAATGTTAAACAAGCCAATTAACTGGGAGAAAAATAAGGTGGTAATTTTTTTTATCTTAACCAAAGTTACTGGAGACAGCATACAGGTGAAACTCAAAAAATTAGAATATCGTGCAAAAGTTCATTTATCTCAGTAATGCAACTTAAAAGGTGAAACAAAAAAAGAAAAAAGACTCATTACATGCAAAGCAAGTAATCAAGCCGTGATTTGTCATAATTGTGATGATTATGGTTTACAGCTCATGAAAACCCCAAATCT